GACATATTACACCATGTCATCATTTATTTTACAAAAAGAAAGCCAAAATGGAGAAGCCGTGAAAAACTACTAAGTACACCCTTACTGCTTCCATAGGTAATGAAGAGGCTAAGTAGCAGAAAGAACTCAAAGAGGGTGTACTTTCTTTTTCACACAACTGTATTTAAAAAATCCAAGTTAGGATTGGGTTTTTTAGTGGTAAAAATAGATAAATGTTTTAAATATGTAAGTATTTCCATTCACAAAGGAAGACAAAAAGCATACAAAGCTATGTCCTGATGAGATGCATTGCTGGCAGTTGCATATATTTAGCATGATTAAGCTTGTCCCCTGCTCTCAAGAACAGAGGGATGTTTATGGCAATTAGGATTATTCTGTAAGCTTCGTGGCTAAGGGAGGGTTTTATTCCTAATGTTCCTAGAGCTCATTTATTTACCAGACCACACTGACAGTTTCTTCAAATGTTTGCCTTTTTGCGGTCAGCATATGGGCAATGCCATGTTACATATTTTGCTTTTTTTTTTTTTTTAAACAAGAGCTATTGTTTTTATACCCTCTATAGGATGTAAAATAACAATTGCTGAAATGTATATTTAGTACCAATAAATCCACTTTATATCCTTTTTTGGGGGGGGGGGAGCGGGTAGAAGGGGGAATGAATCTCTCTCTTTTTTCATATTATATTTTGTTTATTTAAAACAAAGCTGTGATTTTTTTAAAAATAATATCAATAAATGGACAGAATTACTGAAGGTAGACAATGAATGGTCAATATAACATTAATAAAAGATAATTCATACCAAGCAGAGTACATTGAGTTGTTTTTATGATATAAAGTAGTATGGTTTTTTGAGCTTAATCCCACAGTCTCCACTACATTATTGTTTATAAATGTTAAAAAAGCAGAAAGGAAAAGAAAAACATCCCTAAAAATAATATAGATGTATTTAATTTCTGACTTTCCTCTTCTCAACCTGTATAGACTTACACAATAAACCAGAAACAATAAAGGAGCATCTTGAATTCAGATGAGACTAACTGAATAGTACTAACTTAAAACAGACATACACAAATACATGCAATATAGTTCAGTGATGTAATTATTTTCATTCCACCCCAACACATATTTTCAATTCATTTACATTTCTATTCAGATTGCAAAAAAATATTATGGTTCTTTCCAATTGTTTGTCATGTTTAGGTTCATCAACAGTGTGTAATAACCATTACATGGAGTTTTATATCTATAAAACATGTTTTTAAAGTAGCTCTTTTATGCATGCAAATTTTAATAGACATCACCTTGACATTGACTTTTAACTCTACCTTCTTTTCTTTGCAGATCAAATTATGACATCATCATCCAAAGGCATTTTCCGGCCATTTCTAGTCCTCTTCATTGTGCTTGGCTGTTTCATGGCCTGCCTACTTATCTATATCAAACCAACAAATGGCTGGATCTCTAGTCCTATTGAATCAGCCAGCTCAGTTCTAAAGATGAAGAATTTCTTCTCGACCAAAAGTGATTATATTAATGAAACAACCATTCTGGTATGGGTGTGGCCATTTGGACAGACATTTGATCTAAAATTCTGTCCCACATTTAATATCCATGGATGCCATCTGACAACAGACCGCACACTATATAACCGATCTCATGCAGTTCTCATTCACCACAGAGACATTAGCTGGGATCTGACTAATTTACCTCAGCAGCCTAGACCTGCATTTCAGAAATGGATCTGGATGAACCTGGAATCTCCAACCCATACTCCACAAAAGAGTGGGATTGAACATTTGTTCAATTTGACCCTCACTTATCGCCGTGATTCAGATATTCAGGTGCCTTATGGCTTTATGGTAGTTAGCACAAATTCCTTTGTGTTTGAAATGCCGAATAAAGAAAAACTAGTATGTTGGGTAGTGAGTAACTGGAATCCTGAGCATGCTAGAGTGAAGTATTATAATGAATTGAGTAAATATATTGAAATCCATACCTACGGACAAGCATTTGGAGATTATATCAGTGATAAAAATTTGATCCCAACTATTTCCACTTGCAAATTTTACCTTTCCTTTGAAAATTCTATCCATAAAGACTATATTACAGAAAAACTTTACAATGCTCTTTTTGCTGGATCTGTGCCAGTCGTTCTGGGTCCTCCCAGAGAAAACTATGAGAATTACATCCCCGCTAATTCATTCATACATGTGGAGGATTTTCTGTCTCCAAAGGACCTTTCGGAGTACCTTCTGATGCTCGACAAAAACACTAAACTGTATATTAGCTACTTCAACTGGAGGAAGGATTTTTCAGTGCACCTTTCTCGATTCTGGGAATCACATGCATGTCTTGCTTGTGACCATATAAAGAGACACCAAGAGTACAGGTCTGTTGGTAACTTAGAGAAATGGTTTTGGAACTAAACCTTTATCCATTTTTTCCTGCACTTTATATGGGGGGGGGGGCTGTCAAAATCACCATCCCAAGATGAGGAGAGGAAAAAAAATCCCTAGTGAAGCATTACTGTTCATCATCTGGCCTTTCTTCCCAATGCAGATCAATAATTCACTTAAAGCCTTGAAATCTTAACCACTCTCCTTCCTTTCCAGATAAAGATTTCTTCAAAAAATAATAGTGATGCTATTGGTCAATTTCTGTGTTTATTTGCTTGAAGAGGTAATCAACATCTTTCAAACTCTTCTTGTATTTTATTGAGCCGTGATTTTGAAAAGGAATTAAAAGTGGTAATCCAGTGTTGGATTTCCTTCTTTAAACAATCCAAACTCTGGTGACTTACTGTTATATTTTAATCATACATTTACTGTCCCATATGGGAAACCAAAAAGTAGCAACTTTTGCAGTATGTACTTAGGGGAGATATGAGAAATAACTTGGGTGCTTTTAAAGACCATGACACGGCTGCACAAATTATTCCATCCTACGCCTCTGCCATGGCATCTTTTTATAATTTGTTGGAAATCCTGCTATGTTTGGCAGTGTTGACCAAGAAGTATGCCATTGTATACTTTTTCTTGTTTCATCATTTTTGTAATGCATCACTGTCAATTATGTAATACAAATGTGTTTATATTGATTAAAGCAGTTTTGTTCTTTCAGGGCATCAAAAGAAATGGGGAGGGATGTAGGTAATGCACATAAAACAATGGGATCAAAACATTTATTATGGTTTAACAAGTACAGTTTATGAAATAGAATGATACATCCAGATGTCCAGAATAATATTTAATACTGTTGTATAAACTACTTTCTACATTGTTTGTAAGTAGTCTTGTATTACATGTTGTCTGTGGTTGCAGAACATCTTTGCATTCTATGTGGGAAGCAGGAGCATTCACAGTGATGGGCCCTGGCTTCCAAATGCCAGGCAGGACTGGGTGATCAAAGCCCCAACCCTTTTTATGGGTGTGCACTGCCATGCTATGTACATTAAAAAGAAGTGAGGCTTTGACCATCCAGTCACACCTGCCATTTTGAAGCCAGTGACTGCCACGGTGGATGCTCCAATGGGAAGATTGCAGCTAGTTTCACATGTTTGGTTAATCCTTCATCGGTTTAAATAATTATGAAAAAGAACATTACTTCATTATTGGCAAAGTATTACAGTAAATGACATGTACTGGGGAGAAGAAAACAGTGAAAATTAAACCTGTACCATGAATTTTAGGCAGTGCTGAATAAAAGTCTTTATCAAACTGGGTCAGAGGAAGCAAGCTAGCCGCTTGGCTGTCTAACCTATAAATGAATAAGTTCTTCCAGAATGGGGACCTCCTTTGGCCTTTGGAGTACTGGTTTCCAAAAAAAGTTAAAAAGTGAGTCAGTCCAAGACAGAAACTAAATTTCATTGGGTTTATTTTTGTATTTAATCAAACTAATTAAATGCAGTTACTATAACGACTCTGTATGGATTTCCCCCTTTTTCTATTTTGTCACATTAAAAATTACAATATGGCAATTCTGAGTTTTCACCCAACTTTTTCAGAGGTCCCATAAGTCTTAGGTCTTAAGAGTGTGTACCATATATGTATGCTTATGTACTTACTGGTTGTGACTCTTTAAGGCAATGTTGCCACAACAGTGTTACTGCAGATAGCAGTAAGTAGAAGGGGCACAAGTGTTCAAGGTTAAGAAGTTAAGCAATGTTATTGTCCATAGTTCACATTTTTTCTAAAATGAAAACACAGAGTGTATATGTTTTAAGGATGAATACAAACATTTCAATATTGAGATTTTTTTTTTTCCTGAGCAGCAACAGCAGGCTGTATCACCTTCATAAAATGATTGCTGTTGCTGTTACTACTGCTACTGATGAAGCTGCTAGAGGAGAAGAGTTTAGGCAGTAATCCAGAGATTGATTATCAGCTTCATCAGTATTGCCAATATTCAGTAGAAGTTTGTTAGTGCATATTCGGTTTGGGAGCTGATGACAGATGAGGAGCTTGCCACCATCTCTACTTACAGCAGGGCTGAGCAGGACTTTCTCTTCTAATTATGGTATCTTTCAGTGGGCTATAGAACATTTTAACTTGTTTTACTAGTGCAGTACAGTCTGCAGAATGGTAGGCAGAAAACCATCATGTTCAGTGCTTTACAGCAATGATTTTAGGTTGAAGATAGATATTTTAAGAATATATTTGGGAAGATGCATTCAAGGAAGATGATTTCAAAAGGTTATTCATTGACTTAGCAGTTTGTGGCTTAATCTCATGTCCTTTTCTGGAGGTATTAATTGGGGTTTTGTTTAGCATTACATAAATATATAAGTAATTTTTTAGACAATGCAAGCTGATAATATGGAGGAGTCTTTATTTAGAGTCTTTTCTTCCATATGGTTTTATTGGCATCAAAAGAGGAGGACTTAACAGCTTAAAGATATTTCAGAAATGACTTTTTGGCTACTAGAATAAACTTCTGGTATAAAAATAAAACACTAGACAGTTACGTTTACTTTTAGGAGTGTTGCTTGGAAATGATTTGTTGTGATGCCACAGTGAATAAGTGTGCATATTTTAAATCTCCCATAAATCCAAGAAACTGAGGAAATAGAGTAAGAACAGTTAGCCTCAAACTATAGAAAACAGATTTTGTGTGGTGGTGGTGTGTATATGTGTACACACACGTGAATTTTTGACATGCAGTTTTCTGGACTGCCAAGTTTCAGTCTGTGAAACCAGCATGTTAAACTCAAAAATAAACATTTACTGTAGTTCAGTTTTTTTCCAGAAAAAAATAGTTGTTGAGATAAAATGTATAATTCATCTTCTATCAAAACTTCTGCCTTCATGGCAGAAGGAGATGGGGTATGTCTGATGGTCTCAGTCCCCTTTTACTTACTTGTCCCTCTCATACACGCATGAGGAGAATATTTCTCCTGTTGGCTGGAGCTCTAGTGATAGGGAAAACTAGCAAGTCTGTCATGCAGGAAACAGAAGGATGTAGATAAGGCTTTCTTCTATGGACAGGTTTCCCACCAAATGAAAGCTAGAACAGTGGCAACAAAGTGCCAGAGTGGAAGGCATTTGTGTTCATTCTGCATTCATTCAAATGTATTTTCATCAGAAGATCTGTAATAGCAAATTCATTTCTTCACAAATTTGCTTCATTTTCCCTTTTCCTCAGTCCAGTAACGTAAGTAAACGTATATAAATACTTTATAATCATCTAGCCCATGGTTGCAAAATTAAAATACTCTGGTTTCTTCAGTGTTACAGTATATAATGCCCTAATGAACATTTGTTATTTGAAATTAATTATCCAAGTTTCATAGTATATTCATAATTGAATTCTGTGCTAATTCATTGTATGTCAGTTGTTTCTTCGTGTCTGAACTCTGGACTTTCAAAATGTTTGTTCAACAAAATATTTTGATAAATGGATGTGGAATGTTAATCTTTTCCATTTTTTAAAGAAGATGTTCAACAAGTTATAAATGTAAGAAGTGTTTCTTTCAGTGGAAGAAAAAAATCTAGGTTCGCTTTCCAGAATGAGACGTTCCTTTTATACCAGTTCTAGACAGACATCATAAAACACATAGAAACTCATTGAGAACACATGGAAACTCATTCAGGCTAGTGGCCTCAGATACATGAAATACATCATTTAAGAACAAAAGGCATAAAATTAGAATGAAAACTGAAAGTCAAACTTCCTTAAGAATATGTTTATTTTTTCATATATTTATGTCACATATGTAAAATGTAATGAGTTGTCATTTTTAAAGAATGTTCTCTTATAGGAAACTGTGAATCCCTTAGGTTCACCAGCAGTTGTATTAGAAACTAAAAGACAAAACTTTGAATATGCATATATGTGACAGAATGAAATCTTAACTTTTGAAAAATATTTGTATTTGAGGGTGAAAGTTGTCCAAATAGAATGACACTGCTTTCTGGTGTCGTGGGAGAGGAAGGGATCCCTGAAGTTGTTACGAATTTCATCTCCAGTTCATATATATTTGTGCCATATATTTCAGCATTTCCAGTATCTCCCGGAACTCAGAACTGGGTTTAGTAAGCAGGAGATGCTGGAGGTTCCAAGGTCCAATCCTCCCTCTGCGTGTTTGTGTGCGCACGTTTGTGTTTGTATGAGGAACTGTTTGGATGCCATTTGGGAAGGGGGGTGGGCAAAGCACTATCATGCAAAACAAACTCTATTATTTTGTGTTTGGAATATTATTTTCAAAAGAGCATAGAGTATTGAAATAGTTTAGAGCAAGAATCTCATGAGAAAAATAATATTGTCATTATACAGTGATATACAGTGTCATCTGCAGTATGCTCTCTTTTTCACTGATTTGCTCCTTTTGTTTCCTCAGAATTTTAAAGTAATTTTGTAGTTGTCTTTTGCCTCCAGATAGGAACTTTGTGTACAACAGGCATTTCACAGAACCTAAACAATTATGGAATAGCAAAGCTCCCATAGCCATATAATTCTGGCCCAGTGAAAATGTCATAAGCTTTTACAGGCAGAGTCTACAATGTTACTCTTAATAATTGCTGCCCCCGACTAATGTGAAAATGCTACCACCATAATACAAACACAGCTATGAGAGATACAGTTGTGTAAAGCACATCTTACATTATTTTGCTATTCAATGCATAAGTTCTTGATATGCCTGTAATAGTTAAATTTTAGGTCTTCAAGTTGTGTTCTGTGCCACGTGAAACTATAGGATAAATAATCAATTACAATGCTATTTGGTGTGGCGAAATCTGAGCAATTTGAGGAAGAATAATACTGGGAAAGGATAAAAACAAGATACTAGTTCATCTCTATCATTGTGCACTAAAGTAACATTTCTGGAAATTATCTTATACATTAAATTAATGTACAGAACAGATAATCTTTAGATGTTCAAAATGGCTGTTAATGTATGTATGTAATATGTGCAAGAAGAAATACATTCTTCTGTGTCATATATAAATTAAAACATTGATGTATATCTTGCTAAAACATTACTTTACTGGACTGGAAAATAATTATAATACCAGCTCTTAATATGATCCATAACTTCCTTGTGTGGAAAAGAACTTCAGTGTACACTGAGTATACCTAGGAGTTGCTGTCATGGACCCCAAATGTTGGTAAATGCATACTTACTGATGGACTTTTTTTACTTTTGTAAAAGTTCATGGATGTATAATCCTAAAACAACGTGAAATAGAATTAGACTACTTGAGCAAAATAGTGTCACTTGAAACTCTCCTGTAGAGAGAAAAGGTTACTGAATTTGTTAATGGATACAAACCCATTCTATCTTTCGTTTTGTATTTCAAATGTATACCTTTTGCCTAAATATGAAAACTCAAGTTGTCAGCTATAACCCTTCCACCTATAGTACTGGATTGCTAAGTGATGTCACTTGTAGTAATTTCCAATTAAAAAGAAAGACGCAAGATTTTATGCTGTTGTGTATACAACATGTATTTCACATAAAATGTATTTCATAGGAAAACAGTATTATAATTACATGATTTCTCATTTTATTGTGTTTAATCCCCTTAATTTTTTGACAACTAACTCAGAGTACCATTTACAAAGATTCATAAAGCAGTAGGTAGCATTGTGATCTGAAGAAGATATGTAAGTTTTATAGACTATAATACAATTGAAGACAAACTGATTCTGACAACTATGTAGTGCATATAATTTTAGTTCTTGATATCCAAAGGTACAGATAAAAGTATCTTCACTTCATAAGAAGGCATTTGCAAGTCCATACTGGATGATCTCATTTTTAAAACAGATCACAGTTAAGATTGGGGAAGTACATATCATGTATGCTATTCATGTACTATTTTTTTTCCTTACTCTCTGCATAGTGTCTTGTCACTGGGCAAGCTAGATTTTCAATACTTATTGTTATATTCTGCATATTGAAATGTATGTCTACTCCCACTTTCTATCACAAAACACTTCCTTTCAAATGCATGTACATTAAGGATGTAGAATAATATTAAGATTTTCCTGAAAGGAAACTGGCATATCTTTTTCCCTAAAAAAAGGGGGGGGGAATCCAAGGGAAGACTGGAAGTTGCAATTTTTATGTCCAGTATACAAGGGAGCAAAGGGCTTCTTCCAGTTTTGCTTAAACTTTATAAAAACCTATGACCTTATGGAAGCACTGGGTCTTTTCAGGAGAACATTTCTTCCTCTTTAGATCATCCTGGAATGACTATATCATATTTTTAAAAAATCATCCAAAAATTATACTAGAACAAAAAAATGATGTTTTTAAAGATTTGCACATTCATAATGTACATGAATTTGTTTACCTCACAGCCATCATTATTTTAGTAATCCAATCTCATAAGAATATCAAATATAGTGAAAAGTGCTACAATCAGTGTGGACAATCTTAATCAGTGCAACATTTAAAATGTTTCTAATCGTTTACTTTATACCCAGTATGTAGTCCTAATGAATTCTTTCTTCCTGAGAGAAAGGATCTTGTCAGTGATCCAGCCAAAGTTAATTCATGTTAAAACTCTCTCACTGATATGACCATAATTTAAAAGTGCTTTTGTTTGAATCATGTTGCTAAAAATTTCATACCTACTTATTTTCTTTGTTGTTGTTCAGTCGTTAAGTTGTGTCCGACTCTTCGTGACCCCATAAACCATATTGTGCCAGGCCTTCCTGTCCTTCACTGCCTCCCTGAGTTGGCTCAGTTTCATGCTCATTGCTTCAGTGATGCTATCTAACCATCTCATCCTCTGCCGACCTTATGTATGAGAACCTTCACAAATGTTGACAATGATCATCTTGAAAGTTTCTGCTGGAGTAGAACTTTTGGGAAAACCACTGTGCCATGGGTAGTAATGCTTTGTCACAGCTTCACTTTTGTATGTAAAATGAACTGGATATTTTATGCTTCACTAACATCCATTGTGTAAGGAATTACAGTGCCATTCCTTTATTACTGAATTTTGTCAATATGCACAGAAAGTCAAGTTTGAAATGTTACTTTATTCACTACAATTTAAACATGACAGTGCGGGGGGAAAAATCACATATACGTAAAGAGATGCTCTTTGTGCAGTTCTGAGCAAAAATAAACTGAATATGAGCCCCACTGAATTTAGTGGAACTTATATCAGTAAAAACAAACAGGATTGTGCCAACTTGTATCCAGTAAAGCACAACGTGAAAAAAGTGGGAAAATTGTTAAATATGACTTTTAATATTTTTTATCAATGCGCTGTAATTTTGCACTACTTTGTAAAAAAAAAAAAACTTAAAAATCTAAACAAGCCAAATGTACAGCATATAAAACATATTTTCCTGACTGTATCATATCACCCTGTTTCCTAGGTATATTAACATAAATATTATGTACTATTTTGACACTAGACAATAATGCCCAGCACACCAATGAGTCAGTTTGATTTTTTACTTATTGTTATATTTTTCTGTATTTGAGAAATAGGTGATCTTAGCAAACACTGATTTCAAGTAACAGGCTGCTGGAGAATATCTAAAGTTAGCAGGTAGTAAACTGATCACTAATTGAAACCACTTAGACAAGCAGCTTTTAAATTACAGACTCTCTAATTAGACAGAAAACTTGAAATGGAAACGGGTGCTATTAGTCAATCTCACTGTACTTCCTTTCTGGTTATAAAGTTGAAATGTAATAAATGTTTATTGATTAAATTATCAATATTGAATATACTGTATAGTGAAACGTAGAAGAAAAATGGAAATGAAATGGAAAATCCAAATGCATAATACAAGCAGTAAGGATAGAACTGTATGGTCTTGTCAGGAATGAAAGGGTGTCCAGTTTTAGGTAGCCACTTTGACACATGAGAGTTAAAGCACTTACATGGCATGATGACAGTATAATGTTTTATTTTGATGAATGAGCATGTTGCTGAAATCATGCCATAGGGAAGCAGCTCTTAAATCACTTGGCATATATTTATAAGCCAGCGTTTATATAAATCACTAATTATCTATCTATATGACAAATTCCAGAAAAGAATGGGATGAATAATTCAGCATAACTTGGTTCATTGGTCTTGCCAAAAGAGGTTAAGCTTATTTAGTATCTTCCTTTATTTAGAAATCAAGTTTCCACATGCACAGTAATATTATTCATGATTGCTTTACAATTCTAGAGACAAGGATCATTCCGTTTATTGCATCAAATTGTATATAAATATAACTAAATATCCAATGGTGATATAACTTCTAGAAGATATAAATTGTATCTTCTAAAATACACATTTTAAGAAGCCATGAAAAAAGCAAGGCCTTGTCAAAAATGTGTAAAATTTTTTATTGATTAGAAGTTGAAATTGCTCTTTGTGCTCCTTAGATGTGACCTCAAAGAAAGATATTTTCCTGTCGTTTGAATTACCATTTTGCCTCCTTAATATGTGCAAGTAAAATTATATGATTGTATTTTCCCCTCCCCTTTTGTTGTGAAATTTCTGTGTTTAAAATTATCTGTGATTATGTTTATGAATATCTCCTACACTGATTGCAGACTGCAAAGATGCATTTTGTGGAATGCCAGGGAATTCAAACTGTAACAAAGCCTTCAAGACAGTGAATGGAAGTTTGTTTCTATTGTATTTTGAGAATTTCATTGATTTTTTGAAAACATGCATTAACAGAGGCATTCCTCCCAAAAGATAAACACTGGATATGTAAATTAGTGTCAATATGTGAACAAAGTTGTTGTAATAAGCATATTTAAAATAAAAAGACTCAATTTAAAAGTATTTTCCCATGGGAGTTTAATTTTATATGCAGTCTTGATTTGGGTCAGTTTTCCTGTCCAAAGTACATGTGCTTCCAGCCCTATAATAAATTCAGTATCAATGAAGCATAAAATAGGTATGGAATTGATAGGGAAGAGTTTTTCAAAATGCTTTCACATAGAGTCCTGGCAACCAAAACAAAATTATTCCCTTACTCTTAATTATTTAATTTATATAGCTGCCCATCATACACGAGTGACTCTGAGCAACTTACAAGAATAAAAATCCTGAAAAGCCCACAACATATTATCCCCAGCACCCCAAGATAAACAATAACCCCACCAATAGAAAAAGCGCATTGATAACTGCAGCGCTTTTTCATGAATCAGATTTATCCTTGCCTGTATGTGTATCTCAACAGATCTGCTTAGTTCAGATATGAGTCTGTTTAAAAGAAAAAAAAAAACTGACTGTAAATTTCTGGAAGTAAGATAATCATGAGTTCTAGTATGTATTTGTCACAGATGGGCCCACGATGACTGCTTGACAGATGATAGAAAATTCCTACCGCTACTTTTGCTAGCAAAAGGGGGAGAAAATCCATGGCCTTAGGTTTATTCAGCTTCAACTGTTTTTAATATCACTCATTCAACTAATGACAGCTATGGTCAAAAGCAGCTTCCTCTGCCAAACTATCCTTTGTGCTCGTGCATGGTACAATTCTTATCTGCTATTTATTTGATACAAAAAAGGCAGGTCCTTCGTGTGCTGTAAAAGCAGTATCATTTAATATTATTACTCTGAAAAACTGCAAAAGCAATCTTAATCTTTGAGGAGATTGTTCTACTTTTACTTTTGTATTACCATTATATTCTTTCTTCAGTGCAGTTACATTTGTGATAAAAATCAGCAAAGTTTTCACAAGAACATATGACTCCCCCGTCCCTCATCCCTGGACAAGGTTCAGATATCGTTTGAAAAACAAAAAAGATGGAGCACTGGAAAACAGCTTTTTTGCCAATTAGCTGGGCATATTTTAAAAGCACACAATATATTGAAAACAATATCACATAGGTATCAAAAACTTGTGAATGCACCCTCTCCTTATTTAGCAACCATGTTCCGTTCCAACAACTTGTTAAGTGAAATGGTTGCTAAGTGAACACGTGACAGAGACTGAAGATGACTTCTTGTTGCCCTCTCATTCAGATAAAAGTTCTCTGGTATAGTGTCCTGTGCCTGGTCCATTTTTTTCCTTTTTTCTTTTTCTTTTTTGCCCTCCTCGCAGGGCAGAGAGATTGCTTAGGCAAGCTATCTCTCCCTGAGCTGCTTTTCTCCACAGGGAAGAGCTTCCCTAAAAAGTGCTAATCATAAGTAACAAGTTCAGCTCTGTGACCTTAATTATTACCCTCCAACCCCCTTGTGTTGCTGCCTGAAACTGACCAGACCTTAATCAGTTTCATACTGAAGGCTTTTGTCAGGTGCACAAAACTTGGTCATAAATGTACACACTGGTCAGAAAATGATTTTTTTATTACCGTTTATTACTGTTGTATTTGCTAATGGTTGCTAGCCAAGGTAATCGCTAAATGAGGAGTGGCTGTAAATTCTTTGCTCTCACAGCTAAATGTCTGTCTGTTGACTATCTCTTTCTACCAATGCAAAGGCTTTTCAATATTTGGAATCTTAAGTCCCTCCAATTATTCTGCCCAAGAATTTAAGATTCTCCCTGATAAAAATAAAAAGCCATTTTTTCCCCAAGGACACGTACACGTTCACCGACGTTCTGTTACACTGGGTATCATTTACTTAATGAAAGTCACAGTGACTTACTCTATATTTCATCCAATATGTGTAGTACCAATTGAGCACCACTCTATCAATGCATCTGCAACCCATCACCCTTTGTATTACTTTTGTTCCACCAGCTCTTAACTCTTCCATTCATAAAACAGGATTAAGGAAAGCTGGTTAGGAAATGTTAAGAGAATAAGCACCCAGTGGCTCCATTTATATATTACTTGTACCTGAATGACACAAATTATACCCAGCAGAGGTGTGCCAATTTCTTCTACCCAATGACAGCACTAGGACTCGTACTGGCATGCTGGAACTACATCCCCAAAGATTGCTGGACACAGAAGAAGGTATAGTGCATAAAAACTAAATTTGAACTGAGCTAAACATAAAATATAAATCAATTACATACAGTTAACATGGTTAATTTTCAGATGCTTAATAATTTCCCCAGGCCTTTGGGTCTAGATGAGTGGAGTCCCAGTTGTTAGTTATAATAGGTTTTAGTCTGGTTGCAATTTTATTATTTTAGTTGGTTTTTAGAGCGTGTTTCTTTTTTTCTTTTATTTTTTGGGTGGGGTGAGGGGATTTGTATTTCTAGTGGGTATTTGTATACCACCCAGAGTCCCTTTTTTGAGTTGGGGGGCCCTAATATATCAATTAATTAATTAATTTTAAAAATGGTCTCCTCCCATCATATTAGAAGCTATAGTTTGACAGCCACTGTTGGAAAGATATGGAGCAGGCAGACTGAGCCACCTGATTATATTATAAGGCATGGTTTCTGAAAAATATTAAATCTATTTCTAATACAGCCTCATTAATTATCCCCCTCATTTTCTTACATTTTATTTGCCAGTATCAGAGTTGCTTAAGATTGACTGGCTTTGCTTGGTAGTGGATATCAGAGACACTTGAAAGTGAAATGACTTCTCAAATGCACCCAAGGCAAAGCTCTAATTTTTGTCAATTCTAACACAGATGTGGTCATAACAAAGTCATAGGCAATGGTCTTCTCATCATTTATCACATTGACCAACCTATAGGATTTGTATGAACTAATCAAACCTTCTTTATGTACAGGCAACAGAGAGGATAAGGGAAGACAAGTAGCCCAGAGAATCAT